TGATGATGATGATGATGATGATGATGACGATGATGATGATGATGATGATGATGATGATGATGATGATGATGATGATGATGATGATGATGGTGATGATGCTGATGCTGCTGATGATCATGAGGTGGATGAGGAGGAGGAGGAGTAGGACGAGGAGGAGGAGCAGAGAAGGAGGAGGAGGAGGAGGAAGAGCAGGAGCAGAGGAGGAGGAGAAGGAGGAGGAGGAGGAGGAGGAGGCAGAGGCGGAGGCAGAGGCGGCGGGAAAGGGAGAGAGGGAGAGAGATGCAGGAGCTGGTGGCAGGATGCTCCCACGCTGCACGGGCGGACCAGCCAGGTCCCGGCCCTGGCCGGAGCCGCTCCGCTTCCTCGGCCGCCCGCGGGGGCGCGAAGATAGCCGCAGGGCCGAGCTGCGCGGCCGGGGAGGCCGAGGACCTCTTTCGTTTGGGGGGTGCGGCGCACGAGCGCTGCGCACGGCGCACGGCGCGAGGCTGTGGGGAAAGACACAAAACAACAGAACAAACAAACAAACAAACAAAAAAAACAAAGACAACAAAAACACAAACACACAAAAAACACACTGTGGGAAAAACACACACGAACACAAAAAAACACAAAAGGATTCGGGTCTGCAGCGCGAGGTGCCCGCCACCTCCGTGCGGCAGGCTCGCGCCGCGTTGCCGCGGCGGCGACCCCCGCCCGGGCGCTCCAGGCGGAGCGTCGCTGGTGGTCTCGGCCGACGTCGAGCAAGCTGCACTCTTGGGAAGCCGTGGTCGTGCGAGGCCGAAGGATCCACGCAGGCGTCAGACGTCGGCTCGAACCGTCGCCACGACACGAGCCTGCCGCAGCAGTTTTTGCCTCGAGCGCCGCCTGCCTGGTGCATCGATCAGGCACCCCGTGCCCCCTCCGCAGCGTCCAGACCCCGCGGCCTGCCGCGGTGCCCCCCCCCCCGAGATGGGCCAGACCCAGACGAAGCTCGAGGACAGGTACCACCTCCAGAAGGTGAAGCTGGGCCAGGGTTCCTTCGGCGTCGTGTGGAGGGCGGTGGACAAGGCGAACCAGGAGGTCGTCGCCATAAAGCAGCTGGACAAGTCCAGGATGCCGAAGCGTGGCGTCTCTCGCGAGGACGTGGAAAAGGAGATCGGGATAATGACGGCGTGCAGGCACAGGAACCTCCTGGGCCTGCTGGCCACCTTCGAGGACGATAGATACGTGTCCTTAGCGCTCGAGTATTGCGACGGAGGCGATTTCGGCGACAAGGTGAAAGAGCGGGGCCAGAACCTCGAGCAGGAGGAGGCAGTCGCTTGGATGCACGACATAGCCTCTGGCGTTGCGGCTCTGCATGCCAAAGGCATCTGCCATAGAGACATTAAGCCCGACAACTTCATGGTGAAGGGAGAGCCTGGGAGCCAGTGCATCAAGCTCGCCGACTTCGGGCTGGCGGTGTTCCTGCCGCCGGGGCGGCGGCAGCTCCTGACGCTGAAGTGTGGGACGCCCGCGTTCATGTCCCCCGAGGTGCACCTGCTGCCCGGCTTCAGCCGTGGCTACAGCCTCCCGTGCGACATCTGGGCGGTCGGCGCCGTCCTCAGCATGCTGATGCACGGCGGCCAACACCCGTTCATGGACAGCAACGGCCAGCTGGACACCAACTGCCTCCTGTCGGGCACCGTGGTGTCCGAGGGCCTCTTCAACGGCCTCGTGCTGCGGCAGGGCTCGAGCTTCTCCGACGAGGCGCGCCAGCTCCGCCGGAAGATGCTGGACACGAACCCGGAGGCGCGCCCGAGCGCCGAGGACGTGCTCCGCAGCCCCTGGTTCCGGTCGCGGGGGCTCGGCAGGCACGCCCCCTCCGCGGCGCCCTCGCCCGCCCGCAGGACGCCCCAGGTGGGGCGACGAGACCAGTCCACACTCGCTGCTCCTGGCCAGGCCCACCTGGGGCCCACGAGCGGTGCCTGCGCCCTCTTGCCTCGGCCTCTTCTTCTTCTTCCCTTTCTCCTCCTCCTCCTCCTCCTCCTCCTCCTCCTCCTCCTCTTCCTCCTCCTAGTGTGCCTCCTCCTCCTCCTCCTCCTCCTCCTCCTCCTCCTCCTCCTCCTCCTCCTCCTCCTCCTCCTCCTCCCCCTCCTCCCCCTCCCCAGGGAGGCACCTGCACCGCTCCTGGGCCCAGGATGGGCCCGGCCCGGGGGCAGCGGACACGTCTCGACTCGCCGCCCAGCCAGGCGCAGAGGCCCCCCTCGGGGTCCCCGGCGGCGAAGGCGCAGGCCCCGAGCCCAGGGCCGACCAACCTGATGGAGAAGCTCATGCAGGCTGTGCCCCTCGGGCGGTCTTCCTCCTCGTCGCCGTCCTCGTCCTCGTCCTTGTCGTCGTCGTCCTCGTCCTCGTCCTCGTCGTCGTCGCCCTCGTCCTCGTCCTCGTCGTCGTCGTCGTCGTCGTCGTCGTCGTCGTCGCCGTCCTCGTCGTCGTCGTCCTCGTCGCCGTCCTCGTCGTCGCCGTCCTCGTCGTCGTCCTCGTCGTCGTCCTCGTCGTCGTCGTCGTCGTCGTCGTCGTCTTCGCAAGGGGTGGCCCCTCGCCGGGGAGTGGCACCCCCCCCCCGGTGCGCGGCCTCCCGGGGGGGGGGGGCCGCCGCCCTGCCGCCCCCCTCGCGCAGCGATCGCCTGGCCTTCCCGGAGGGGCGACGCCGAGAGCGGGGCCGTCTGCTTACCAGCCTCGAACGTATCCCTATCCCTAAGATTGACACGCCAAAAGGCGATGACAATCTGAGGGATTCGCCCGCAAAAAAGAAGGAAATCCCCAAGATTGACATCGTGATGAGGAGGTGCCCAGCGTACGGATAGGGATATGTTCCAGGCTGGTCATCTGCGCCGGCACCTGGCGCGGAAGCTGCCCGCGCCAGGTCGCGCGTGAGCGCCCCTCGTCTCCACTGCAGCGCAGGTCGCGGCCTCATCTCGCGCACGGGCCCGTTTCCGATCGTCGCTCAGACCTGGTCAGAGCGGATGGGGTCGGGGGATCGGGCCGCATCGCCGATGCTTCGGCGATGCGGCTCGATGTGGAGCCCGAATTCTTGCCAGGCCGAAGGCGCCGATGCATCGCTGGCCGCGCTGGTGCATCGCCGGTGCATCGGCGAGATGCGGCGCGATCTTCGGACCCCACCTGCTCGGACCCCACCTGGGAGGCCTCTGAGAGGCCATTGGCTCTGCAAACTGAGACTCCCGCCAGACCCAGCCCGAGAGAGGACGAAGAGCGAAGCATGCCTCGGCTGCCTCGACCCAGCCCAGGCCTGGCCCATCTACTCTGACCCCACCTGGGAGGCGTCCAGCTCGGCAGGCCGCGCACCGAGGGGGGCTGCTCTCTGACCCCGGGCCCTCCTCCTGCGTGCGCCTTCCCAGGCCATGGTGGACGCGGGGGACAGCTCGCCCGTGGCGGCCCGCACCCCGGCCGCCCGCGAGAAGAACGGGAACGGCTCCCCGAAGCGGTCGCCCCAGGTGGACGGGCGGCGCCGGCCGCCGGCGCTGCCCCCCCCCGCGATCGAGGGCTCGCCGCCGCTGCGGGGGGGGCCCGCGAAGGTGCGGGACGGGCGGGGCCCGTCCTCGTCGCCGATGGCCCTCGGGGAAGAAACATACATCTCGGCACGAGCACGGACTTCTGGAGGCCGGCGCGGAGCACCTGGGTTGGCGCTGGAGCCCCCTGGCGCGCTCTGCTCGCCGGGGAGGGGGGGCCCTGCGCAGCTCAACGAGCTCCGCGCGGACTTCCGGCAGCTTGTGCTCATGCGGACTTTTTCCCTCGTCAGGCTGGCTCCCCGATCAATGACGTGCCCACGCCAAGCAGGGTGACGTCCCACCAGCGGCACATCCGCTTCTGAGACGCTCGGCGAGGGTGGTGTCATGGGACCCGTGGGAAGCGGCCAGGGTTCGAGCATGGAATTGACCGGCGGCCCGCCCTTACATCGCGCGCCGCCGCTCTGAGCTTTTGCCATCATCTTTAGCCATGGGGGGGGGAGCGGCACGGGGGGATCTCACGAGCGACGGACATATCCACATCCATGCCCTCGCGGTGGACACCGAGGCGCCATCCCACCGGATACGCGATCCAATGGGTGCGCTTCGCGCGGGACACGTGCGCAGAGCCGCCCTGTGTATGCGCAGTCGCGACCGAGGAGTCCAGGCCGCAAGGCTGTGGATATGTGGAGCGCCCGCCCGCCCGCGAGGACTGGCTCGGGGGAGGAAGCGTCGACCCCTGATTTACAGTCGGGAGCGTTTGCTCAGCGTGTCGCGCCGCCGCCTTTGGCCCACCACGCTTCGGCGCGACACGCCGACCACGTCCGAGTCCTCACGTCAGGGGCAACGTCACGGGAGGGATAGGCTCAGGGGGCATGCATTCACCCCCAAATCGCCCACGCATCGTCGCCGATGGGGGTCGCGATGGCCCCACCCTGTCGTTGTGCACAGCACGTTCATCCAGTTACCTTGCACGGCTTTCGGAGCAGAGGCTATCGCATTGGACGAAGCGTCACGAGAAGTTGCCGCTCTACTTCTACAACTGAGGCAAACGGCTGGCATTTAGGTGTCTTGAGACAGTCATGAACAGAACAGAACAGATAGCCCCACCCTGCCCAGGAACGTGAGGATTCGGTACACTGTATCGGGGGCCTATCGCCGATTTGTCGGAGATGCACCGGTCGACGTTTCCCCCCTCTGAGCTGGTCCCCCCACCTGTGGCTGTCCCTCACCAAACGTCAACTCAGTATCGTTTATCCGATCCCCATTACACCCCTCGAAACCCGAAGGGGACAGCCTATATCCCCATCTAGGGGGGTAAATCGGCCAGTGGGGCCCAGGCCGCGCCGCTGGGGATAGGGATCGGATAAACGATACTCAGATGCCGTTGTGTCGATGCCCCTCCCCTCCCCCCGCGAGCCAGTCAATCCCTGTCGCCCCGCCCTCGGTGTAGGAGACGGTACTCTCTTTCTGGATCACCCGCTCGCTCATCCAATCAGGCGTTGCGCAGTGGGGGGCGACAAATAAGGGGTGGGGTAAAGAAAGGTGTACCTTTTGTGTCCTAATGGGGCCCCGAAAGAGGCACGACAGGTGCACGTTCCCCCCCCTTTTACCCCCCCAATACATACAGACAGACACACACACACACCAATCAGACACACAATGCACAACACAGCACACAATTCAGAACACACAACACACAGCACACACAGACACACAACACACACGCATCACACACAACACACACACACACTACATACAACACATAACACAACACACAACACACACACACACCAAACAACACATAATTCAGAACACGCAACACACAGCACACACACACACACGCAACACACGCATCACACACAACAGACACCCACACTACACACAACACACAGCACACGACACAACACACAACACATATAACACACACCACGCAGCACACAACACACCACACAACACATGACACACACAGACACCACACACCACACAACACACAACGCACGACACAACCACCCAAAGCACAACACACACCACACGACACAGCACACACACCACGCACACACAACCCACACCATACAACACATACAACACGCACATCACACACTACACAACACAGTACAACACACAACACACACACACATACAACACACCACAACACACACAACACACGCACGCGCGCACGCACACACACACACACACGCACACACACACACACGCGCACGCGCACGCACGCGCACCCGCACACGCACACGCACACGCACACACATGCACACGCGCACGCACACGCACTCGCACACGCACGCGCACACGACCACGTACACGCACACACACACACGCACACCCACATGCGCACACGCACACGCACGCACACGCACACGCACGCACACGCACACGCATACGCACACGCGCACACGCACACGCACGCACGCACGCACGCACACACCCACATACCCACACACCCACACACCCACTCACACACCCACACACGCACACGCCCACACACCCGCACACCCACACACCCACGCAACCACACGCACCCACACACACACCCACAAACACACACACACCCAAACACCCACAATCACGCCCATCCACACCCACACCCACCCACAGCCACCCACAGCCACCCACTCCCACATACACACACCCACACCCACACCCACAGGGACAGACAGTCACATGCACACACAGACACACACAGGCACAGGCACGCACAGGCACACACAGACACACACACACACTCGCACACACACAGACACACAGACACTCACATGCACACACACACCAGACACACACACACACCAGACAGACACCAGACAGACACCAGACACAAAAGCACACCAGACACACACACACCAGAGACACACCAGACACACACACACTAGACACACACTAGACACACACCAGGCACTCAGCAGACACACACACACACCGTACACACAACACACACGCACACACAAACACATAGACGCACAGACACACAGTCACATACACATATACACACAGCCACGCACAGACACACCGACACACAGAGACACAACCACAGACACACACAGACACACACAGACATACACACCCACACCCGCACGCACACCCGCACACACAACACACACCCACACACACATCCACCCAGCCACCCAGCCACGCACCCACGCACGCACGAACGCACGCACACACACGCACACATACACACACACACCCGCGCACGCACGCCCGCGCACACACATACTCACACGAGCACGCACACGCACACGCACACGCACACGCACACGCGCACGCACACGCACGCGCACACACACACACACCCTCACGCCCCCACATGCACACGCGCACACGCACACACGTACACACGCACACACGCACACACGCACACACGCACACCCGCACCCACGCACACGCACACACGCGCACACGCACACACGCACACACACACCATAAGCCACAACACGCAACACACGACTCGCAACACACAGCCCGCATCACACACAACACACAACACACACACACTACACACCCACAACACGCAGCACACACCACACAGCACAACACACCACAACACAAGACGACACACCACAGCACAACACAACACAACCCAGCACAAACCACGACACGACAACACGACATAGCACAACGCAACACACCACACACACATACACGCACGCGCGCACGCACACACACAAACCACAACTACAACCACAAACACAAACACAAACCCAAACACAACCACAAACACACACGCACGAGCACACACACACACTCAAACACACATTCACACGGACGCACGCGCGCGCACGCACACAGGCACACACACACACACACTTCTTGGCGTCGCGGCCCCGCGCGCGGCGACGGAGCGTACCAACACACACAGACGCACACACAAGCACACTAAGACAAGCACACACACGCGCACAACCATACATATACAGACAGGGGCACACCGAGACACGCAGACACTCACAGACACCCGCAGACGCCCACAGACCCACACATAGACACAGACTCACACAGGCTCACACAGACACAAAGACTTGCACAGACTCACACAGACTCACACAGGCACACACACAGACACACAGACACACGCACAGACTCTGACATACACACAAACTCACACACACATACGCACACACGCACACACGCACACACAACACACACCACACAACACACACACCGCACAGCACACACCACACAATTCACAACACCCCACACAGCGCACAACACACACAACGCACTCGTACACATACATACGCATACACATGCACATACACATACGCATGCAAACGTACACATACACATACACATACACATGCACATATACATACGCACATACATAGGTACACACATGCACATACACATGCACATACGCATACGCATACACATACACATACATACACGAAACCTATACACATACACATACACATACACGTACACACATACGACGTACATACGCATACACACATACACACATACACATACACATACACATACACACATACACATATACACATACACACATATACACATGCACATCTACACATACACAAACACATACACACATACATACATGCATATATATGTATGTAGGTTCATATACACGTACACACGTGCACATATACATACACACATGCACATACGCATAAACATACACATACACACATCCACATACACACACATACACATACACATACACACATATACACATACACATGCACATACACACATATATATATATATACATACACATGCACATACACATGCACATGCACATACGCGTACACATTCACACATACACACATACACACATGCACACCTACACACATGAGCACGCGCACGCATACACATACACGTACGCATACATAAGCACATGTACACATACACGCATACACGTACACACATACACATACACACATACACACATCCACATACGCACATATCCACATACACATACACACATACCCATACACATTCACATACACGCATGCACATACACGCATACAGATGCACACATACACATATACATACACAGCTGCATACACATACGCATACGCACATACACCTATACATCCACATACACATACACCTACACCTACACGCATACACAAACACATACACTAATCCACATACGCACATATACACACGCACACACATACACACATACACATACACATACACATACACATACACATACACATATTCATACTCATTTGCATACACATGCACATACACACATCCACACATACACGTACACATATACACATACACATACATATACATATATATAAATACATACACATACGCTTACACAACTACACACACGCACACATACACACATACACACATGCACACATGCACATACACATAC